ATCCAATACAACCCCGTCCCCACCCGTACACCCCTACACAGCCCTGTGACCACCCACCCCCATTCACCCCAACACAGCCCCATCCCTCTGACACAACACAAGCCCGTCCCCACCCATACACCCACCCCTTTGCCCTAACACAGCCCTGTCCCCACCCACCCACCCCAACACAGCCCCACCCCTCTGACACACAACCCCTTCCCCACCCATACACCCACCCCTACACAGCCCTGTCTCCTCCCCTTCACAACCCTGCGACCACCCACCGCAACACAGCCCCACCCCTTCACCCCAACTCAGCCCCACCCCCCTGACAAACACAACCCCGTCCCCACCCATACACCCACCCCTACAGAGCCCTTTCCCCTTCCCTTCACCTCTCAACAGCCCTGCAGTCACCCACCCCCATTCACCCCAACACAGCCCCTCCCCTTCACCCCAACACAGCCCTGTCTCCACCCCTACACAACCCCATCCCTTCACAGCCCCACCACCACTCCTCTGATCCAACACAACCCCGTCCCAACCCATACACCCCTACACAGCCCTGTGACCACCCACCCCCATTCACCCCAACACAGCCCCACCCCTCTGACACAACACAAGCCCGTCCCCACCCATACACCCACCCCTTTGCCCCAACACAGCCCTGTGACCACCCACGCTTCCTCACCCTAACACAGCCCTGTGCCCCCACAGACAGACTCACCTTACCGCCAATACAGCTCTGTGTCCCCAAATACAGACCCCCCCTTACCCTGACACAACTTTGCCCCACAAATACAGACCTTTTCCACCTCCCAACAGTGCAGTGTTCTCCATAGGCATCCTCACCTCCAACATAGCCTTATGCCCCCCCACTTCCCCATCTCAACATAGCTCTGTGTCTCCCATACACAAACACACACCAACACCCTTATACGGACCTGTGCCACTTGCCCCCAGTACAGCCCTGTATGACACCACCCAGAAACCCCCACTGCAGCAGGATGTACACCCCTCCGCTACAGAGTCCTGGGCTGCCTCTATGCATCCAGGAAAACCGCTTCTCAACACAGGTGCAGGAAGTGGGGGTGCTGCCGCACCCCCTGGCTTGAAGTGGTTTCCATCATATACAGGATTTACAGTTCGGTTCAATGGCTCTCAGCACCCGCACTATACAAATTGTTCCAGTACCTCTGCTTCTCAACAACATGTTTTGTCCTTGACCCTTTATTACAGTCCTTTGGCCCCTCCCCACGGCCCTGTGTACATCTTACCATTCCCAAACCACACAGACACAAATCCCACACATCTTCCTCAGACCCATTCTTGTTTCCCCATACCCCAACACATAACCCCCCCCATATTCAACTCCCCCATCACGTGTACAGCCCTCCTGCACACCTCTGTTAGCCCCTCCCCCTGCACTCCCATAGCTCTCAATATAATCCACTCAGTATACCTGACCCTTCCTCCTCAGGATGTGGATTACCTCCTCATACATACTCTTCAATACCCTGCCCCACAACACCCTTTTACCCCTCCCCGGGAAGAGAAATTGCTTTGTAATTCCTCACTCCACTTCCCCGCATGTTCCTTAAGGCGTAATATACCCTTATACCTGATATGGGGCCTTCTTCTACGCCACATACCTTTCTCTCCAGAGGAGTCCTTTCGCCTCTTCATTCCCCATCTTGCCATGTACCCATGCCCCACCTCACCCTACCCGCTATCTGCACCACTGCAGACAAGTGCCTGCCCCCTACAGTGGCCATGTGGCACAGAGAAAGATACCTGCGTCAATTAATTAGTGGTTGTGTTTACAGTGCTCTGGACATGTGAAGGGCATCACATTAGTGCTAAGTATACTTATTGCCAGCTAAACTGCCTGTGTCATAAACCTAGAACTTGCAAATCACAGACTCCCTCCCCCCCTTCAGACAACAGACACATCCACATTTTGCTACTCCACACCACTTCAAAAGACAACCTTTCCCAGGCTACCAGCACACCTCCCTCGAAATCAAAGACAAACACACACACCCCTCCCCTAAAACTAAGCAAGATTAGCTATACCCATATGAAGATACCCAAGTGTGTTAAGGGGAGGCTCTTCTGCTGCTTTCCAAACCAACACAAACAGCAAAACCCCCTTCCCAAACACACAGCCTTGCTCCACCGTTTCGAATGCCCCCTCCTGTCTAACACACAGCTACCCAGCAGTTACTTACCAAATCCCCACGAACCTCCATCACAGTATAATTGTCCCTGTCAATAACCACATGCCAAGCCTCAGCACCTGCCACATACCCAGCGAGCCACACTTACCCGTTGCGCTCACACGCACAGGGAGCTCCAAGCACCGACCAATAACCAGATGTTCAGCACTGTAATAATCTAGTCCTTGTACCTTTACTAAGGGGGAGAACATGCCCCCCCTTTTATTTAGAAAAAGCCACCCACTGCACCCTGTTTTTTGGGAGGCTCTGAGCCCGCTGGGTGCCTCAGAGTAACAGGCTGGATGAGGTGGGGCACTCACTAAGGGGATCAGTTTCTGCTCCAACCTACTCTGCGTAATGTTTTCCTGGGGCAAGCAAGTAGGCATTGCTATGCTGCGAGCCTGCGAAGGGGAATGGCATCTTCCCTATATGCTGGTGGCGAAGGTGTGTGCGTGGGTGGGGGGCTGTGTTGTTATGGATTTGGAATGTGACGTTTTGGAGATAAAAAGGCGCTCCGCCCTCCCCCCCCCCCCACGCTGCAGCGGGGAGGGGGGGGTTTGGTTATGGTTTGCAGTCCCGCTCCTCTTATTTTTTTGGCTGGCAGCAAAGGAGGTGGGAAGGGGGATTGTGTGACCCCTGTGGATGTTGTTATCTGCGAAGCGGAGAGGTGGGATCCCAGGATGGAAACAGCCTCCCCCCCCCGCACCCCGCCTCCTCCTTTCCTCTTCTGTTTACCTCAAGTTCGAATTTTATCTGCGCAACATTAGCTGGAATGCGGACACTGAGGGGGGAAAAACACACGCACAACCCAGCCGCTCCAGAGAAGCCATGTGGCGTGCAGCCATCACACACACACACACACACACACACCCTCCTCTTAGCAACACAAACATGGCGCAATCGCCTTTCTTTCTTTTTAAATTCCCATTTCAAGCTGGAAAGCCCACCTCCCTCCTTACCCAAACGCCTGGCCCCATGGCTCCCGACCCTGGACGAGGGGAGGGAGACACAGAGAAAAGAAGTTAAAGGGAGACCACCCCGAACCAAAACTCACATTACAACTATGCCACAGGGAAAGGACACCCTTCCTCATTTAAACGTCCGGATGCAAAATTTAGGACGAAATCCCCTCCCCTCCTCCCCCCGCATACACACACCACATCTCCCAAAACAAATCTCTCTTGAGGCGCTTTTAAGGACTATAAATAACTTACCTTAAGACGATCCATGTGCTGGCAAAGCTTTCTCGCCTTCCCCGCACCGCGACCCCCCAGCAAAGTGGAAGAAAAACAAAACCAAAAAAAAACAAAAAACCCAGGTAGTTTCCAGCTCTGTTCTTCCATGTAATTTCCTCTTTCTTTGGCTGGTGGGGACGCTGGAGACAGGTGCAATCCCATCTGTGCTGATTAAAAGTTGTTCTTCCTCCTGGCCCGAGAGGGGTGGGAGGGGAACAGAGGGACCCCTCCTCTCTTTTCCATGTCCCCTCTCTCTACAGGATGGAGGTGGGTGGGTGCCTGTGTGCAGAAGGATGCCCCGTAGTTTCCTTCTCTGCCCCCTCCCCAGTCACTGTTTATGTAGCTCTGGGCTCCCCTAAATGCTTTCCTCGCTACAATGTTGTTTCATTATATCATGTCCATCATGTGACACTGAGAGGCCTCTCTATGGAAACTTAAAGGGGACTCTCACGTGACGCTGCAGCAGTAGCAGCAGCATAACACCATCGCCTCCCGTCCACCAAACCCCCTTCCAGAGGTGAAAGTAAGCCGGTATGGGCCGGTACAGAGGACCGGTAAGAAAAGGAGACTGGCTGAGAGAGGGAGAAGCCTGCCCCCTGCATAAGAAAGGTTTAAACTCCGCTGTTCCCTGTGCCCCGGGGTTAGGAGCGGTTTCTCGCATCCTTGTTAATGTCATTCACAGTTGCTGGGGGCCAGGGAGGAGGGGGTGTTTGACCATGGGAGGGGCAGTTCTTTTCTGCCCCTGGGATGAGGGGATCGCTCCAATACTAATATACACAACAAATACAATAGGCATTTGGCTGCACAGCTTAAATCCAGAGCTAATAAAAGCAGGTGGAAGGGGAAAACTCACTGTCACATTGGTTTCTCCTCTCCCTCCTCCTCCAGCCAGGCTGCAGACAGTAAGGCTCTGTGTTCCTCCCCCACCCCCCCACTCAGCAGGGGCTCTCCTCTAGGCTCTAGCTTGCGGTGAGCAGGGAGACTGGCTGAGAGATGCCTTCATACACATACATACTGTATGTATTACTATCCGTGGGGAGGGCACCGGTGCCCTTTTGAGGGGTGGGGGGACAGGGGAGACAGTATTTCTGCTGCTCACCCCTCAGGAACTTCTGTAAGAGGCAAGGTCTGGCTGGGCACTGCCAGTGAATCTGTGGGTGCCCAGCTTTTGGGTTGCTGCTTAATGGTGTCCCCAGGAAAACTTCCAGCCTCAGCAGCTGCTGTTCTCTCTTCCAGGCTGTGGGAGGGAGCTGCCTGGGAGACAGGGGAGGAGACAGAGGTCTGTGGGGCATGCGACAGCAACAACACAAGCAATAGGGGGTGGCAGGTGGGGGCTGTAGCTCCAACGGGAACCACTACCCACAGGAAAGCCGCCCCAGCCCCGGCTCAGTCCTGGCACGTGGAAGGAGTGAGTGGGCCAGCCCAGCGGGGGCAAGAAAGGTGCATCCATGGGAAGGACTGGATGGAGCAAAACATCCTTATAGCAACTCCCACATTGGGCCATACAGCTGCTCTCACTGCTCTCCCTGTTGTCGTGCCATGCCTGGAGATGAATGTGCTGCACATCGGCCCTTTCCAAGCCACAATTTCACATATGGCATGGGATTCCACTGAGTATAAGGAGGTCCCACACATGAAATGAATAGCAAGTCCCCCGCATGACGAGTGTTAAGTGCAGTCCATTTCACTGTAATGATGTTGTTCATCGCACTGAATCCCCTTTCGCAGTCAGCGTTGCTTGCAGCAAGGGTGTCCACTGCAAGGACGAGTCTTTTACGTTTACCAGGAATGTTTTTTCCTCCAAAAGCCTTGAATTCAACAAATCCCAAGTGTGTTTCCTGTTGACTGATTCTCAGTTGATCAGCCAATGCTCTTATTTCCTTTTCTCCAAAATGGGGATTCTCTGGACTCTCTTGCCATTTTTCGGGATTCAAAACGGACAAATTGTTAATTAAGTTCTTATAATTGGAAGACCTTTCTTCATGTGTGCTTTGATCGGCTTTGTTTGAGGCAGTTATAAATAGCAAGCCCGCGCGATTACCATGTGAGGGTACCGTATGGCACTCGAAAGCTAACTTTGGAACAGCCACATGAATGTCTTCCTGGGAAAACAAAATCTTCTTGTCTTGCTTCACAAATCTAAATCTACTCTGATCCAGGTATATTCTAAATATATATGTACAGTATGGATGAATCTCTCAAAAAAGATAGCTCTTCAGTGTAGCAGTTGGACCAACAAACAGGCCCCTGGGGAAGGACGGACTCCATTAAGCAGCACACATTAAGCAGAAGTTCCTGAGGTGTGTTAGCCCAGGAACTTCCCTCTCCCTCTCCCTCGCCCCCTCCCCCTTAAAAGGGCACTGGCACCTTCCCCACAGGACAGTAATACATACAGTATGTATGTGTATGAATGTGTGTGTCACAAACAATGCAGCTACAGCCTGCTGCCAACTGCCCCACCCCAGCAACCAGCCCCTACTATTGTATTATAGTAGTATTGGAGATCCCCTCATCCAGGGGGCAGAAAAGAACTGCCCCTGCCGTGGTCACACACACTGTTCCCCCTTCCCCGCCCCCCACACACATACACACAACTGGGAGTGAAATTAACAAGGATGCCAGAAACGGCTCCTAACCGGTAAGTCCTTTAAGTTACCTTCACACCAATTCAGAGGGGCTCCCTGTTTGGCAGGAGGGGCGGCAGTGTACAAAGCAATGAATAGACCCATCCTGCCTTTCCAAGGTAGAAAGAACAGCAGCTCTGTCTAGTCAGAAAAGCCACTCACTGTGGAATGATTTCTTAGTGCTGCCTCATTTATTCCTAAGCAGTGACGACTTCCTAATATCAAATGGGCTCAGTTGACAAGTGGAAGCAAGTTTTTGTTCCCATTATACTGTCTGTGCTGCCAGCTCCGTTTGATCTCCGAAGGGGAATAATCGTAAATCATAATTAATAATCAAATAGGCTATATTCTTTCTGCTTGCTACATCCTCACCAGCACCAAAGAGTCCAGAATCAGAATGTAGCCTGCTCGTTTTGCAGATGACGCATCCGCCACAATACAATGCAGCTCTGCTCTTCTGCAGCTAAATTGGGTCTTCAGTGCTGACAGTAGCAAAAACTTGTTTGTGTCTGTAAAACTAAGCAGATGTGACATGGAAGATATAGGCAATACCACTGTTCTTTTTTAAAGTGTTAATTTATGGCTGTAAAACATTATTTTAAAACTACAGACACGACCAAATAATGAAAAATTGTGTACTATTTAACTCTGTAATTACCGGTATATTAACGTTGTAACGTAATTTGTGGTTCATTTGTGTAAAAAATATCCTATAAGACACAGTGTATAGTTATATATACTTGGCTGTATTGTATATGCTACCGCATTGTTTATACATATATATATATTATTTCTTGGCCCTAATATTTTATATAGAGAGAGGGGACCATTTAAAATTCTGTGAAATTATCTGTGTTCCATCCATTTAATATGTTATTCTTTAACTCCAAATCCTCTCTCCAGCCTGTGTACATTGGGGATCTCCTACAGGGCTGGAGAGAAGGAATTCTGCATACAGACCACACAGCTTGCAGTAGAGCAATTCTAAGGCTGCTGTTCTGACCTCAGTGCTGAAGTTGCCTCTGCTCTGCTTGTGCCCCAGTGGTGGGGAGCAGGGGTAGTCAATTATTTTTTGTCAAGGTCCAAATTTCTTGGCCAAACTACAATCAAGGTCCAGGCCTCCACACAGCTCCCCTCCCCCTAACCCCCGATTGCCCCCCAAGCTCCCCGATCACCTGCCAGCTCCCCATGCGTCCTGCCCAGAGAGTTAGATTACCTTATTTCCTAAACTGGAAACGGGACACATGGGGCTGGCCTGAGTCACCTGGTATTTCTGCTCGCCCCCCAAAAACATCCCTCCATGCCCCCAACTGAGCCAAGTAGCAGAGATGAGGGGGAGAAATAGGTATGGCTGGGATCTGGGCAGCAAAGCAGAGTGTGAATATATGTGTGAGTACTTTTGAGCAAGGGCCAGGAGGGACCAAGGAGACTCCAAATAGCAGCCCTGGGGAGATGGGCAAGGCTGGGAGTGGCAGAAGCAGGAGACTGGAGGAAGACTGGGGAGGGGAAAAGGGCCAGTTGGGATGCGGGGGTGGAGAGAGCTCCAAGGACTGGCCCCAAAGGATGGGGGGTGGGGAGGACATGAGGTCAAGGTGGGAAGCTCCAGGAACTGCTCGGGGGTCAGGGGCATGAGGCTCCAGGGTGGGCGGTAGGCTAGGGGACAGGGAGTATGGAGGGGGCGGTGGGCTCCAGGGACCGCTCAGAGCACAAGCATGGCCCTAGCTCAGCTTCAACCCGTGCACAGAGGCGTCATGTAGCTGTGGCTAGTGGGGGGACACAGATGAAAGGTTCTGGGTGGTCACATGCCTCCCCGATTTCTCATGACTCCCGTGGAGTTGGGGGAGTTGCGTTGTATGTAAGAGAGCAGTATGACTGCTCAGAGCTCCGGTATGAAACTGCTGAAAAACCTGAGAGTCTCTGGATTAAGTTTAGAAGTGTGAGCAACAAGGGTGATGTCGTGGTGGGAGTCTGCAATAGACCACCAGACCAGCAGGATGAGGTGGACGAGGCTTTCTTCCGGCAACTAACATAAGTTACTAGATCACTGGCCCTGGTTCTCATGGGAGAATTCAATCACCCTGATATCTGATGAGAGAGCAATACAGGGGTGCACAGACAATCCAGGAAGTTTTTGGAAAATGTAGGGGACAATTTCCTGGTGCAAGTGCTGGAGGAACCAACTAGAGGCAGAGCTCTTCTTGACCTGCTGCTTACAAACCAGGAAGAATTAATAGGGGATGCAAAAGTGGATGGAAACCTGGGAGGCAGTGATCATGAGATGGTCGAGTTCAGGATCCTGACACAAGGAAGAAAGGAAAGCAGCAGAATACGGATCCTGGACTTCAGAAAAGCAAACTTTGACTCCCTCAGGGAACTGATGGGCGAGATCCCCTGGGAGAATAACATGAGGGGCAAAGGAGTCCAGGAGAGCTGGCTGTATTTTAAAGCATCCTAATTGAGGTTGCAGGAACAAACCATCATGATGTGTAGAAAGATAGTAAATATGGCAGGCGACCAGCTTGGCTTAACAGTGAAATCCTTGCTGATCTTAAACACAAAAAAGAAGCTTACAAGAAGTGGAAGATTGGACAAATGACCAGGGAGGAGTATAAAAATATTGCTCAGGCATGCAGGAGTGAAATCAGGAAGGCCAAATCACACTTGGAGTTGCAGCTAGCAAGAGATGTTAAGAGTAACAGGAAGGGTTTTTTCAGGTATGTTAGCAACAAGAAGAAAGTCAAGGAAAGTGTGGGCCCCTTACTGAATGAGGGAGGAAACCTTGTGACAGAGGAGTGGAAAAAGCAAATGTACTCAATGTTT